ACTCCTAGTAATTAATTTAAGGAAAGCTTGCAAACATTTTGAATATTACTATTACTACCTCCAATTGTTTTTTTTTTTTTAGTTGCAACTTTAAAATATTTTATATCTTGTAAATAATACCCCAAAGTTGTAACTAAAAAAAATCAGAGGTGGTATTAATATTAATCCTACATGGCAAAAGGTGCAAAATTTAGTTAGTATCTTAATTACTAGAGTAAATATTAAAAATTTGTAGTCACATAATATATTTAATTAAAATTTACTAATAATTATTATTAGCAATACTTTTTGATATAAATAAAGTTAAAATATATGAGTTAAAAAAAAATTATTATACTACATCCGTTTCAAATTACATGCAACAATTGAATTTTTTATATTACTCAAAGAGTCAAATGTTGCACATCATAATGTGAAATGAAGATAGTATAATATTTAAAATTTCCTCATTTTTTTAATCACAAAAAAAAATAAAATAATTTACATTATTTACACGCACACTCCTTTAATAATCTTTTGTGATTTATACGTTTAGAAAAAAAATATAATCATGTTCATGTGAGATCTTCTTATATTGGTCTCGATAAACACTTAATTAATACCCAACTAAAAGTGAATGGATAAAACATATTTTAAGGTAAAGAGTATACACTCTAACTTTTGTAATTTATAGTAATGATAAAACATAATCATGTGCCTAGAAATCTTGTTCAATTCAAATTTGTTAAAGAAGCGTGTCAACTAAAAACACCCGAAAGATGTAATGCACTTTCATAGTTTCATCTTCACAATACTCATATTAGGGATTGTTCTCTTCCGTTGAAATTCAGCTCAGTTCAGTTCAGTTCAGCTCAGTTCAGTTCAGCTCAGTTCAGTTCAACTCAGCTCTTAATTTACGTCTAATGATATTGCTAATGATATAAAGCCAAATTTCATTCTTTTAAACTCTTATTACAACGACGACAACAACAACAACAATAATAATAATGGTAATAATAATAATAATATTAATAATAATAATAATAATATTAACAGTAATAACAACAATAATAATAATAATAATCAATAAATAATAATAATAATAATAATAACAATAATAATTGAAATAATAATACTAATAATAATAATCAATAAATAATAATAATAATAATAATCATCAATAAATAATAATAATAATAATAATAATAATCAATAAATAATAATAATAATAATCAAAATTAATAATCAAAATTATTTATAATAATAATAATAATAATATTATTATTATTATTATTATTATTATTATGTACATTTGTATATACACATATGTATAGTAATAAATAATCAAAGATCACTAATCCGTAGTTAGAAATCACTAATTAATAAGTTCAGTTCAGCTGAGTTCAGTCAATCGGAACATGCCCTTATTTATCCACCAATCCTATCCTCTATAATTATTCTATTAGTTGAATGATAGATAATAATTTGAGAAACATTGAATGACATAAATTTAAGTTATGATTTTTGCTTGACATTATAAGTAGTTGCCACGTGTAATTACTATTTGAGAGGTTTATCCAAAACAGAAAATGTATGTGGCTGTCCATGTGTAAAAGGATTAGCTTGAAATTGACACGTAGGATGGGCTTTTTGCTTTTGGGCGTTTCATTAGCCCAAGAGCCGGATTTTCCCCCCTTCTTCAGTCTTCAACGTTGCTAAAAAGAAAAATATCTGACCCTTCAAAAAAAAAAAAAGAAAAAAAAAATTATGCTTTTTCCACGTCAATCTCCTAAGTAAAAAAATATCCTAGGTTTAGACATGTCATAAATCAATCATAAGAGTTCCATATTTGGTTGTCCACCCACATTTATTATTCATTGCTTTCTTGATTAGGTTTTGTAAGATTTGCATAGTTAATAAAAACACGAAAATTTCATTTGGTTGAACATAATAAGGGTATGTTCATATTTATTGAACTGAACTGATTGAAGTTGAGCTGAAATGAACTGAAATAAAATAAATATTTTATGAGAGAAGAAAATTAGGAGTTAAATTGAACTGAAATTAAGATGAAGTGAACAAACCATAAGTTCTACTACTAATAATATGGATTTATGAGAAATCCACATAACTTAGGTAGTTCCATCATTTTTAGTAAGAAAAACATCTTAAAAGTTGGTGAATAAAACACTTACATGCAAATACGTTTTGTATATGTTTACTTCTAGAAAAATCCATTTCCATTTATAAGTTAATCAAACAAGTACTCTACAATGTTGAACATTGTCTAATCAAGCCAATTTAGGTCTAAAGGTAGCAGCTTGAACTTATAATATCTTGCTTTATTATACTTCCTCCATTTTTTATTACTTGACCCGTTTTGACTTTTATACTATTCACTATCCCTCTTTTGACCATATTTTGTGAATAATATGTAAGGAAAAATATATTCATGTATGATCTTTTTGGATTCGTCTCAATAAGTACTATCATAATATATAACTTTTATAATTTTTACTTATAGAGAATTTAAGTTATTGATCGTTAAAGTTTTGTATTGACAAGTGTGATAAAATAAACAGGTCAAGTAAAAAAAAACGGAGGAAGTATATGATTGTTTTGAAAGGGGTTAAAGATAAGACTTCTTTGCAGGCCATATATCAATCTATCTACCGTATTCATATACAACCTAGAATTGACAATTTAAAAAAGTCAATTGTAAGTTATCATAGGAATATAATAACATAAGCAAGAATCATTCTATTAATTTTTATATCAAAAATTGATCTCATGGCTTTAAAATATAATAACCGTATTCTATTATTATTATTATTATTATTATTATTATTATTATTATTATTTTATTTATTATTTGCATCAGTTTGATCGACACATTTGCCGAGACGTAATTTTGACCATTAATATCTTTAACTATTAACTAGTAAAAATTATAACAAAATTATATTATGAAACTAGACATTATGACGAATATAATGATATATTATATTATATAATAACAATTATTTATTTTGTAAAGGTGAAAAAATTATGTCAAGCATGTGAATAATACAAAAATCAAAGTGATACATTAAAAAAAAAAAAACACGAAGGGGAGTACTATTTTGTATTGTAAATAATAAGCCTAAAAACGAAGGTATACTTTTTAGTTTTAATGTGCTGCCAATCCTGCCATGATTGTGAAGACTTTGTCCAAGTCTTATGCTCAAGAGTCAAGAATATGAATCATTAAAACTTTAAAAGAATTTTCTGAAGTTGATGTAAATAACATGTAATGCAGTACGTAAGTTAGTTAAAAAAAATTTAAATAAATTAAAAAAGAAAAAAGGCTGTAAAATTTTCTACTATGTATAATTTGATCTGTTCGATTCATGCACGCAGTTGTTTTAAAAGTTGGCACTAAGAATTATTGTTGGTTTATGTTTTCTAATAAATTTTCACTCATACATCTTTAATCTATCACATGCATCGATGCATCATTGCATCCTAAAAATGGGCCTAGCTAAACAACCAAAATAAGGAGGGGTTGATTTAATTCCGCTATATTGATAAAGAAAAAAAAAAAGTTTCATACAAAACTAAGGGCCTGTTCTCTTCCGTTGAAATTCAGTTTAGTTCAGTTCAGTTCAGCTCTTAATTTACGTCTAATGATATCGCTAATGATATAAAGCCAAATTTCATTCTTTTAACCTCTTATTACAACAACGACGACGACAACAACAACAACAACAACAACAACAATAATAATAATATTAACAACAACAACAACAATAATAATAATAATAATAATAATAATAATAATAATCAATAAGTAATAAATAATAATAATAATAATCATCAATAAATAATAATAATAATAATAATTGAAATAATAATACTAATAATAATAATAATCAATAAATAATAATAATAACAATAACAATAACAATAATAATAATCAATAAATAATAATAATAATAATAATAATCAATAATTAATAATAATAATAATAATATTAATAATAATATGTACATTTGTATATACACATATGTATAGTAATAAATAATCAATAAATAATCAAAGATCACTAATCCGTAGTTAAAAATCACTAATTAATAAGTTCAGTTCAGTTCAGACAATCGGAACAGGCCCTAATTAGCGATTATGGGAGGAATTCTTCTACCTTACAAAATGATCCGGTGGGACTACAATGAGTATCAACGAATTAACGCATTGACCCACTTTAATTGTTATAAGAGTAACTGAGTAATAGAATAAAGTAAATTTTATCACATTGGTTTTAATTAAGTTAAATACACTTTGAGTTTTATCTTTTCAACTCATAAGCTTTATTTGACCCTAAATTCACAAGTATAACTTTGATCGTTATGTACGTATAGAAAAGAAATGTTACTCCGTATTATAGAGTGTAAAAGTTATCTTAGATTTATTTCAAATTTTCAATGTATATTTTCAGTAAATTATTAATTTCCATACTTTATACATCCCTTGTTTTTAAAATTGATGCATCATCATAGAAAAATGGCACAAATTATTGCAAATGATGATTAGGGTTTTTAGTTCTAAAATATGTGCGGGTGGAGTGAGACATAATTAATAATGACCAAATTTACGAATATATACTCCCCGTTCTTTTGTTAAAGTCCCATTTCGACATTTTTAACATTTATTACTCATAATGTAAAGAAATGAAACTCTAATAAAAAGACGGAGAGAATATTAATCAAAATGTTAAATTTAATTGGTAATAAAGATAATATCAAGCTAAAGAAGCTACGTATTTCATATCCTGTCGACTCATTTTTTACCAATAAGACCCTATTACATCATATTGTTAAATGCTGTTAAAACAACTAATGCTGTTATTAATAATGACAACTCAAAAAACCGGTAACATATCATACGGAGTAATTAATTCCAATAAAAAAGGACCCATTTAAATTTCATTTTCCCTACAAAAAAAATAAACAAAAAAAAAAGAAGAAGAAATATAAGCAGATAAGTTGTTCAAAAAACTTATAAAAAAAATATATAAGCAGATAAGCCCTCCCCTAGCTGTGCCACGTCTACCCATCTCAACTCTCTCATTTTCCTGCTAGTCATCGTAAACACCACGCGCTAAATCAGACGCGTGTAAACACAATCAAATTTCCTCCCATTTTTTCTCTCTTAACTCTCTATATAAGTCCACTTCACATCTCCTCTTTCGCTTCAACAACGTCCATGATATTCTTTCAATCACAATTACCACCAAAACAAAAAATCAACCAAAAAACCAACACTAAAACATCATGTGTCCTACCAATTTCGCCGACGAATTCGCCGATAAATCTCTCGAAGCTTCTCTTTTCGCCGGGAAACTCGCCGGAAACCTCCCGCAACCTGACCTCAATGTTGTTACCTCCGCCGGCGTTCGCATTCCTGCTCATTCTCACATTCTGGTAATCATTTTCTCCGGTTTTGTAATTTTTTACTATGCCGTTGAAACAAGAAGAACTTTTAGAGACGAATTTTTTTTTTTTTTTTTGAAATTGAGTATTGATTTGAATTGGAATATGATTTTTAAAAGGCAATGGCGTCGCCGGTAGTTGAGAATATGGTGGAAAAGCCGAAGATGAATCGGAAAACAGGGGAGAAAGCGATTCCGATTCTTGGAGTTCCTTGTGACGCCGTCTCCGCCTTTGTCCGATTCCTTTACACTTACCGGTAATTTTTCTTTCCTTATTTGTTTATTTTTAGATATTATTAACGCGTTATTAAGAGATTTTAGTATTATTGATGATAAAGGACTATAAACTTTGTTGGAATATTGGTTAATTTGCCATGTATAATTGACAAATATCTTGATTTACCGTTTTTTTTAGGTAGGAAATTCCGAAATAATTACTCGCACCATTTTTTTTTTAAAAATAAATTACCGTACTACTTTTGTAATTTAAAATGTATTCTCTCTATCCCTTTTGTTAAATTTTTATTTCTAGTGTTTATTCTTCAAATAATAAATAGAAATAGGAATCTAATTAAGGGATTTAGGATTGCAGAATTAGTTACAATTATCGGAAAAATTAATCGGTGATCGGAAGAGTAACTATATTAGTCCATATTTCGACATGAGACAACATTTTCGTACATATTGATAGTGTTGCATACTTGCATTTATACACGGTTTTAGATTTTTAATTGTTGTCCTCGTCAAGAAAAAAAAAAAAAAAGAAAAAAAAAAAAAGGATTTTAATTGTTGTAATTTTAGGAACAAATGGTCAAAAAGATGCGATGATGTTGAATCCTGTTTTCCTTTTGGCTCGTGGCTTGACTTTTCTTGCTAGAAATTAGGAAACATTTGACGAATTCTTAATTTTTTTTTTTTTTAGAGGACTAGTGTTATTACACAATGAATGACGAAATCTACTACGTATATGTTAAGCAATAAGCATAATACTATTCATGTAGTTGATTAGTATGCCTGATTTTATATTTATGCTCTGTTATTATTGTCAATCCCTGTAATTTTTGCTGATTTACTACGTATTTTTGTTTTAGTGAAATCTTCATACAGAGTATTGAATTTTTTGTTGAATACAATTGATTATTAAGGATTAATGTTTAGCTAATTAATTCTGATTTTAATGACCAAATTAAATGATGTTTCAATCATAGTGTGTTAGGATTTAATTTTGATGTATAATAAAGATTGGAATCATTTTGTGAGAAAAAAAAAAATCAAAGTAAAAAGAACCAAAAAAATCTGATGGAGTAAAAAAATAAAAATAAAATTGAATTCCTTAGTAGAATTTGCTGATTAACTTTAGTATTGAATTCATGACAATTAGACACGTTGGTGTGTTTTGTATTAAAAAAAAAAAAAACAAAAAACAAAAAACAAAAAAAAAAAAAAATACAATTTTGCAATGAGAAAGTATAAGAGCAACCTCCCAACCATGAGATGTGATTCATAAAGAATCAAAAGAAGCATTAATTTTTATGTAATTTGATGCTTTCACATTGCCAAAGCATTAATATAATAGAAAGCGAAATGTATTTTTCCATAACAAGGAATAATGCTATATGCTAAAACATTTTAACAATATTTGTTATTGCTATTTGCTATAGAGGTTAATTCAATAATTGTTTCTATAAGAACATTGAGTTTTGGTAAATCGCAATCATGCTGAATTGCTGATGGTATGGTTGTTAATTGTTTATGATCAGCTGCACGAACGAAGAGATGGAGAAATATGGAATCCATCTCCTAGCACTTTCTCATGTGTTCGCAGTGCCAACACTGAAGCAAAGATGTAGCAAAGGATTAGCTGAAAGGCTAGTCGTTGATAATGTTATCGATGTACTTCAATTGGCTAGACTGTGTGATGCACCGGATCTTTACCTCAAGGGTATGAAGTTTGCTGCAACTAAGTTTAAGGCTATTGAAAAGACTGAGGGCTACAAATTTCTTCAAAAGCATGATCCTTGGTTGGAGCTAGAGATCTTACAGTTCATTGAGGAAAATGTATTGGTAAGCAATTATTTACTTGCTTGATTTTTTGAGTGCTGTGAAATATCTCAACCTTATTGATTGTGTTTTTGGCATGCGATTTGGTGTTTTTTCAGCCCACCTGAATAGATGATAAAGTTACGTATGACCTGGTTTTCTTCACCTTATTATTACCAAAGTTTTTGAATTGAAATCATTGATTAAAACTACGGAGTACACCATATCATTATGAGATTTTTTTATAAGTATTGTTAAATCCAAAATATCGGATTGCACTAATTGTGGTTAATTTTCTTAAAATGGTCGTTACAAATACATTGAACATCATAGCTTTCCAATTCATTGGATGATTATATTTTGTTTATTTATGAAAAATATCTGATGTTAATTCAAAGTGATAATCACAACTGATTAGAAAGCCTGAATTTTTTGTTAACCAATAATAACCGTGCTTTTGATTAACTTAGGCAAGATATTTCAAGTTTTTTGGAAGAGGTCAAATTTGTGCTGTTTCAATTCTAATCAGATGTTTGCTTTGCTTTTTTGTGTGGAGGAAATAAAATGCGTCTTTTACAAGAACTAGAAATAAAGTTTTCATCCTTGACACTTTTTAAAACAGTTAGTCAAATTTTGTAGGTTTCAAGTCCAACTTTTTTTATTAACAGTAATTTACTCCGTAGAAATAGTATTTTTGATAGTGATTTTAATTTGCGTCTAAATTTATATTTCTAGATTACATTTGTCCATATAATATGTAAAACTTAAATGGTATAGTACCTCAACCAAACTTGACCTTGTGTTGTTTATTAAGAGTCTCAACTCAAATACTCTCTTGTGCATACTAACAATATACAAACTTAATACAAGTATAAAGTATTAATATACGCAATCATCTGCAATTTTGAGAGTCTCGACTCATTTACACCCTTATTAACAACATACGCGCAAGAAGCACGAGTGGTAAAACCAAATACAAGTAAAATAAAATCATGTGCCATGTCTTGTTTGATTATAAGGGGCGGCAATTGATGATAGTGCTTACAAAGCTGGATTTTTTAACATCAAATTGCAGAGAAAGAAGAGGACAAAGAAGAACAAGGAAGAACAAAACTTGTACATACAGCTAAGCGAAGCAATGGACTGTTTAGTGCACATATGCACAGAAGGGTGCACCGGTGTGGGTCCCTATGACATGGAACCCTCCAAGAAGAAGGAGCCTTGCAAAAGATTTTCCACGTGTCAGGGCCTCCAGCTGTTGATCAAACACTTTGCCACGTGTAAGAAGAGGGTCAATGGTGGGTGCTCAAGATGCAAGCGCATGTGGCAACTTCTTAAACTTCATGCTTCTATGTGTGAACAACCAGGCAATTGCAGAGTTCCTCTTTGCAGGTAATATTTTACCTAAATTTGTCTTTTTTATTAGCTTAGATATTTTTATATGTGCCCTTAATCTTATGTTCTCATTTGAGTTTGTGAGATAGTGGCGTGCCTCAATGCTAGATTTTGGTAGCTAAAGGTCATTGATTGAATATACCTAAAACTTTATTATACAAAGTTAATTGTGTGTTGGATGGTCTCACTCAAGACTAGCTGTATGTATGAGATGACGAGACTTAACATTAGTTCTCAAATATCATTGAATTCCAATAGCTTATCATCTAAGTTGGTTGATATCGACAAGAATAACTAATATACCCTACTATATAGGTATCAAATTGAGACATTGGGTGTGACCAAGATTCGACCTTACATCTTGTAAACGTGTTTTCTACTTCTTTTTAGCTTCCTTTAGGCTCTAGAACAACCTTCCATATGAATGTGCTTTCGGCGAGTTGGTCTACCAATGTTAGAAATGTGGATCTGTGGGATCCTTCTTTAACAACAAAAAAATCCAGCCATTTTATCCTTTAATTTATTACTTATAAGATCAAATTTTGGCCTTTTTTGAGTACCTTTCAACTCCCTAAAGTTGTGATCATGTAGGACAATCATTTATAATTAAAGCAGATTTGGACTCACAAACCTCAATTTGTCCTGTTTCCGCAATAATAGGACCTTATCAAAATATAATTTCACCCATTATTTCCGCACTTTGATGCCATTTGTTAGCTATCACACCCACAAATGGGGCCTATTCAAAGCATTGTTTTTTTTCGCAAGACTTCTACAACTAGGGAAGGTTGATCATCACCTTAGTTGTTGGCTTGTAGTTCATGCGTAGCTTTTGCCTACCTTTAGTTTTTTTTGTATATGAACCTTTCTAACTTATCGGCGTTATCGCTTTAATGTTTACGGAGTATATGTTTCTATATACCTTGTATAGATTCAATGTCCTAATCTTCCATGACCCCATGAGCTTGTCTTTTTTTTTTTGTTCAAAGGACGTGCTCGCTTTTACGATTGAACTTTTATTATGATTTTCTTTTAATAGTACTCGAATTCAACTTGTATAGTTAATTTTTGTAACTTCAAAAGATAGAAACGACATTTATTTAGAAACAGGATTATGAGTAATTAACACTAGATATTTTTTAAAAAAATTGCACGTGTTTGGTAGGAGATTAAATATAGTACGAATACAACAAAATCACTGATAGATAGGAAAAGTCGATATTGTAACATCAAATGTGTAAAGAGAACGATAATTATTAGTGTTTGCTTTATAATTGACATATTGTGGCCGTTTTTGTGTGATCAATAATTTCATGTGTGCCATGTTTTCTATGAAGTTATATTTCATTGTCATAAGGAAATAGATATGATGTCCTCAAAAAAAAAAAAAAAAGGAAATAGATATGATAATTTGTTGATGGGTCATCAATTTTATGTAATTGTAATGTAGGAGTACTTCGTATTGCTAATTATTGATGTTGATATTATTGAAAACGTTTACAGACAATTCAAGTTGAAGATGCAACAAGAGAAGAAAGGAGATGATGCAAAGTGGAGGCTATTGGTGAGGAAGGTAGTCTCAGCCAAGACCATATCTTCTCTGTCTCGGTCTAAAGACTCTAAACCACAACCAAAGAGAGAACTTCAGCACGCAATTTCTTGCCTCCAAGGTCTCCAAGCTTGACGGGTCTATCAATCCAATGTCTATAATGTTTCCCTCCCACCTTTTTTTTCTCCGAGTTATGTATAAAGTTGAGTATGGTATGAAAAATTACAACGTTAGGAAGCTCTCATCTCGAGGGGAAAGAACCACACACCCTTATTGGAACTTGGGTGGTGGTTGTATAATAGATTATATTAGTAGTATAGTTTAGGAGATTTCAGTGATCTCTCCAAGCTGTAGGTATTAGAGGAGAGTTGTTGAAATGTGATGGTAATATTGTGAATAATTTTGTAGATGATGTGAAAGTTAGTTGTCTAAATAATGAAAATGATATGAAATATTGTTTGTTGTTTAAAGAAATTGCTCAATGTTATCTACATAGCCTGGTCCGGTGGCCCCAATTGCCAGACTGGCGGTTCGAAAGGCAAAACTCTCTATGGTAGTTTTATACTTATCATAAAGGCCTAATGTGACAATTAACTTTCTATGTTTTAGGTTTTATCATGCATTATCTGCAATAATAGAGCATCTATAGAACTCTATTGTTGATTTTTAAAGAGGCTATGTAGATACAAAGTTTGATCTAATACGGATGGTTTCTTATAAAGCCATAAAGGCTACGTAGATAAGTTTGGTTTACAAATAATAAGTTATGTAAGGGTTACTCAATTTCAAATTACAATTAAAAAAAGTTTTGAAAGATCTAATAAGTTCAAGTCGGGTAAAACACACCCATAGGTGGTAGTGGTTCGTTGCCTATAATGGTTAGTGTAAGAAAAGGTGACGTTGATGGCAGAGCACCAGTGCTTAAGGTTGGGTGTTGGTTAGTGTGCGAGGAGTTACTGAAATGGTGAAGGCAACTTGGGAGTAGGGATGGCAACGGGTCGGACTCGGAGCGGATTATGCTAAATCCGACTTCGACCCGACAGGAAGTCGGAGGTTAAATCCGACATCCGACTCCGACATCCGACTCCGACTTTAATATCCGACCTCCGACTCCGACTCCGATCCGACCCGACTCCGAGTTTTTTTTTTCATTATTCAATATATTTTGAGATGTTGGGCTATTTGGGCCTTTACAACCCTCATCCAATGCCACCATGACCCATACAAAAATCCACTATCTATTAGAGTCGGAGTCGGATAATCCGTTAAAGTTGGACATTTGTCGGAGTCGGATTTTTTTCTCGGATTTTTTGTAGGATCCGACTCCGACCCTCCTCCGACTCGGAGTCGGATTATTTTAACTGAGTCGAACTCGGATTACTTTTTTCTCGGACTCGGAGTGGATATTTTTATCTCAGATTGGGGCGGAGTAGGATCGGATCCGGATTAGATTGCCATCCCTACTTGGGAGGGGGATAAATGATCAATGGTATTCAAGGTAAAGATAGGACAAAAGGTTCTCTTTTATTATTGGGTCGTCTACTTTATTGGATTGAGAAATGTGAATTACTCTATAAATCCAATTATCCAAACAATTCATTTATGAGTTTATGACCAAGTGTGGGAAGATGTCCAACTTTTCGTGTAAGTTTATGAGCCATTTAAGAGACTTGTACTTAAAGAGGAGATACAAAATTCTTGCTCTTACTAATATCCAAAATGTGCAAAGGTCCAATATAATTATAGTCTTAGAGATTGTTACTTGTAAAGTTGTAATGAATAATTAGGTGTGAACCTTGGCCCATTTTCACAACTTTTGAATACTTGATAAAATGAATCAATACTTCAATAGCTGTATTAAAAAAACATGCGTGTCATTTTAATTTCCTTTAAGGCTTCAAGTAAATTACATTAGTATAAACTTTTCTAAATATAATGCTTCCCTGATATAGAAATATTATTTTTATCAAATAAATTGACAAACTTTTACAAAATATTACCAAAAATGTAATAACCAAAATGACCATTGATATATTTATCCAAAAATTCTTCTAAATATTCATAAAATATCTCTTAATAAAAATATATTCACAAATTACAATATCCATATAATATTAACGGGTTTTCAAAAAAAAAAAATCCATATAATATTAAATTTAGGGATCATTTGGTTAGGGGTATTCATCAAAGGATAAGCAAATCAAACATTTTTTTCCCTTAGATCTGTTTGTTACCCCCCCCCCCCTCCTTTCCTTTTTTTTTTTCTCCCTTTTGTCCTCTTCATTCCTCCAAACTTCCAAATTATTCTAAGTTTATTCCCAACCCCTACTAGGTAAATCAGTAAATGTGTAGGATATCATTTATTTGAGGAGTTGTTTCTCTTCTTTTTATTAGGCACTTGAGCTCATGTATAGTCGTATAGAGGAGGGTAATTATGAAGTGTGGGTTAATTACTGTCCTATGAATATTGCTTCATATTTACTATCAGACACTTTGTCTCTCGATTAATATATTTTGGGTTGTCGCTTTTTTCTCAAAAAAAAAAAAAAAAAAAAAAAAAACTTATTCCCTTTCCTTTTATATGTACCAAACAATCCATTAAAAAATTATATCTATTTTGAGATTAATATTATTTTATTTATTAATAAGATACAAATTCCCTCATATAGAAAAATAATAAGATAAAATTAAATTTACTCCATATTAATTTCATTTTATTCACATAGGCCAAGGTACAATTGATAAGATATATTGGTCATTCCTTCATTTATTTACATAGGCCAAGGTACAATATATTGATCATTCATTCATGATACTTATTGATACTCCTATTAATTTTTAATACTCCGCACTATTTTACTAAATTGGATTACCATTATATTTATTTGGGTAATGATATATGTAATTCTTAGAGTTATATAAAAAGTATTAAATCTTTATAAAATGAAATTAAGTACGGAGTAGAAAATTCATGACAAAATCACGCGTAAATGGATTTATTTAATTTAGGAAATTTTGATTTTTACCACCTTCAAATAACGACTTTATTGAATTTACCACCTCCAAAAAAAAAGATTTACTTTACCACCTCATAAAAAAATAAAACATCAGTTTTACCACCAATCACCTCCAACTAACGGATTCCGTCCATAAATCCGTTAGTGGGGCCTACCTTGCACACATGTCGCCATATTATTGGGTAAGTTTAAAAAAAAATTAAAAAAATCCCCATTAATCAACCGGTGTTGCTACCACCGTCGGGACCCCCACCGCCGACCGGCCACGACCAGCCCCCACCACCTAACCTCTACGACCAGCCCCACCACCGCACCGCACAACCACAACCACCTTTCCACCAATTTTTATTTATTTTTTTGCTCTGTTTTCTCGAAAGCCACAACAATGGCGTCTCTTCCAATGGAGTTAATCACCTCCATTCTTTTCGATTACCCACTAAATCACTACTTCGCTTCAAATGCGTTTCCAAGGCTTGGCATTCCTTAATCAATCAGCAGCACCCATTTAATCAGACTTCATCTCGCTCATTCTCTCTCCTCTGACCGTCGTCTTCTTATCCTCAACCATGGAAGTCACCTGGAATCGACTCCATTGAAGTGGGGTTCTGAGCTTGATGCTAAAAACGATTGACAAGATTTGATTTACCCAATTCTTTTTCTGGTTTTGAGGTTTCGATTTGTGGGTGTTGTAATGGATTAATTGCTTTGGTTTGTAGAAATGTTGATGATAATCGATTTGTATCCCTGTTGTTGGTGATTTGGCTTCTTAGTTTTTGGCAGCCACCAAATCCCGACCACCCATAAATCCCCTTCTAATTCCGACCACTCTAAAAACCCTAGCCACCACCAAATTTCGCACTCCTAAAACCCTAACCACCACCTAATTCCGACCACCTCCCTAACCCACACACCAAATTCCGGCCCCTCCTAAGTCACACACGAAATTCCGACCAACCGAGGTAGTTGATTTCGTTGCTGGTTGGTTTACACGAAAGATCGGGGAAGATGAAGAAGAAACGTCAAAAAGGTGGGCCCTACTAACGGATTCGTGGACGGAATCCGTTAGTTGGTGGTAAAATCGATTTTTTGGAAATTTTGTTGGTGGTAAAGTAAATCTTTTTTTTTGGAGGTGGTAAATTCAATTAAGTGGTTATTTGAAGGTGGTAAAAGTCAAAATTTCCTTTAATTTATGTTAATTCATCCTCAATATTTCTTTTTTAGCTTTAATGGCTATGTTTATCATTTTTCTATTTACTACTCGTAGTATTTTTCTTCATATTCCCATTCTCACATAATAAATTTAAATTATTTTTAGTAATTATTGTTGAAATAAATGTAGTAACAAGTCCAAAATTAGTAAAAATAAAAATCAAAATTAGTGGTTCCTGGCTTCCTAGTCAACTACATTAGAAAATTCAAATCTTTGACTTTATAAAATTCCATATATAATTATATTCTATATTTCATGAGATAAACTATCTATATCTTCACTAACCCTTGAATCATTCACACAATCCACAACAATGGCAGACCCAAATACAAACAACCCAGCATTAGAACCCGATTCAGACAACCCGGATCAAGCGGGTTTGGAGCTAGCCCAATTCGGAGCCGGGTGTTTCTGGGGTGTTGAGTTAGCCTTTCAGAGAATTGAAGGTGTGGTTAAAACTGAAGTTGGGTATTCTCAAGGTCATCTTCCTGACCCCAATTACAAGCTTGTTTGCTCCGGAACTACTAACCATGTTGAAGTTGTTCGGGTTCATTTTGACCCGAATGTGTGCCCTTATACTAATCTTCTTGACCTTTTTTGGTCTCGACATGATCCTACCACTCTTAATCGTCAGGTATAATCTTTTTGTAATTATAATAAGGAATTCTATTGTAATTGTTTTTTTTTTTTTTTAAATTTTAAATTTTGATTGTGGTAAGTTTTCAATTTTTGATGTATGACATACGTAATTTGATATGAAATTTTAGTTTGTTTGTTTGTATAAAGGTAATTACTTTTGTTGGGATGGTACTGTGGTATCTACTATCTGTTTCGGGTGAAAACAATGGGACCTTGTCGAAGGTCCGATGAACTGGAGAAGACTAGATTCGATCCAAGTAACGTTGGGCCGAAGGTTTCCTGCACAGTAAATACACGTAAACTAGCCTCGGGGGTGTTGCCGAGGAAGGCCCCTCCGATGCTAAAGTCAGTACAGTGCGTAGAAAGAGAACACTATGCAAGAGAATTAATTGCTTGAGGCTTTGCTTGAATGAATGTACAAATGTAATATTGATGGCTTTTATACCTCTGCATACATGGAGAAGTTGGGCCTTAGCCCAATTGGCTTGCCTTGAGGACTGATCTTTGACTTTAGCACAATTGGAGAAATGAACCTTGACCTTGGGCTTTTAATTGGATCATTTAATGCCTAAGCCCAATTGGACTAAATTGGACCCAAACAACTTGCCCCCCAGACCCGATTTGGAAGGATGACGGGTCGGGTTTGATTTAATCAGAAAAGGAGGGAAGTGAATGATTTAATTAATCCAAAAATTTGAATTTAAACCGTAATTAAACCGTAATTAATGAGATAACAACAGTTAAGGCGGATAATTGTGGAAGTTGGACGGATAATGGGCAGTTTAATCGCAAGGTCGTGTGTTTAACGGTTACTTAGTGGGGTATTTAAGAGAAATTGAAACGCGGACTCCCTGAGCATTAAGCTTAGAAACTGAGACTTGCCACTACCAATTCGTAAATCGGCAACTTTCGCTTCAGATTAAGGTAAATTCCTTTGATTTTAGTTTATTTTTCTTCGAATTTGAACTCCTTCCTTTTTTTTCGACTTTTTTCTTCGAAATTATCAATGGCGAGAGGAGTTAGGGGTAGAGCCCGTGCTCCAAGAAGAGCAAGGCCAATTCCCGATCCCAGGAACAGGATTGGGACCTGGAATGGACGAAGAGCAGAGTCTGACCCTGCTGAAGGGATCAGGGCGACTCCAGTTTCCTCGGCTCCTCCTCAGAGAACGGAGGGGCCGAGCGCTTCTGGGCGGGACGATGAAGTTCCCGATGTCCTTTGGGATATCCTTCCCGGGTTTTCAGAGTGGGAGGATGCCGAAGTAGCTTCGGCCATGATAAAGAACCGCCCCTACTCATGGTGGGTGGAGAATGCCGAACAGTATCGGTTTGCCGAACAAATTGAGTTGCATTACGGCATCCTTGAAGCTGATGGGTATTGGTGCCGAATGCCCGTGGCATCCGATAGAATCCATCGTCCACCCCCGGGGTATGTGGGGGTGTACATAAGACAACTTCAGTATGGGCTGAGGTTCCCTTTGGACGTATTCGTCCGAGACTTGCTGATCCACTACAATATTTCCCTATGTCAACTAACTCCTACTAGCATCCGAAGGGTGATGACATACTTATGGGTCTGCAAGTTCTTCAGGTATGTGTCGAACCTGCACTGCTTCAAAAAGCTTCATCGGCTAGTGCCAAATATTCAAAGTGGGCACGGAAGTCATGGTTCTGGGTGGTACCGGATTGAGTCTCGGCCCCAGTACCTAACCATGTGGCCGAACGACTCTTCAGACAAGGACTGGAGAGGTCAATGGATTTGGGTTAGGGCACCCACAGACCCGGGCCACCCTTGCGTCTTCAGCGCTCCCCGGTACCTTGCTGAGCCTGATCCCGACATGGGAAGTTTAGGTCCCCCCGCAGATAACGGCCCAGATCCAAACCTTAATCAACAGAATATCTTCGGCAAGCTGCCGAACCGGGGGGGGGGGCAGCGGCCGAATGCAGCATATCCCGGAGACTTGGCTCCCCGATACGCATTATGTTTTCCAAGAGAACATGCTAGCAGCTGTCGGCCTCAACCGAAAGTTTAAGGATGGTAAGCTTCTTCGGCTGGGGCCGAGGCTTTTTAATTATCTCTTTTTCTCCTCTCACTTCGCTTTTTTATGCTGTGCCAACCTGACTGAACTGACCTTTCCCCTTTTCTTTTTCAGAGCGGGACGAGACCAACGTCGGCATTAACTACGCTCGTCTTGGCGTCAACCGAGAACGAGTTGTAACTGATCGGGCCCCCTCTATCACTGAACCGCGGCATAGAGAAGTTCATCTAGACTCTTCCCACTTCCAAATTGAGGCTGTTGCTCTGTATCAAAGGCAGAAGCCTTGGTGGAAGAAGAGAGATCCCTGGTTTCAGCTGCTGGACAAAGAAGCTGAAGCTGCCCGTACGGCCGAAGAGGTTGCACGGGTTATTGAAGCTTGTGAAGGAGGAGAAGGGTCCTCCAGGGCTGCTGAAGAAGAAGCTGCAGCTAGGGCAGCTGAAGAAGACGAGGCTTTGCTGAAGACCTCGGTGAGCTTTCAGACTTAATTTTGTCTGTTTCTGTTTGTTGTTTTGTTTTTACTCACATTCTTCCTCCCCCCGTCTTTTTCAGTCTAAAGAGAGTAATAGAAACAGAGAAGGGAAAGCCCCTATTCGTCCCGAAGACCAGATACAAGAAGAGTCCTCAGACTCAGACATGGACGAGCAGCCGCTTCAGAAAAGGCGCCGAAGAATGACCATCATCGGCCCCCATGACTTTCAGCGGAGGCCGATGACCATCGGCGTCGAAATAAGGGAACCCGAGGAAGGCAATGGATCGCCGAGGGTTCCCCGGCCACCACCTCAATCACCTCCAAAGACCCCTCTGCCACCTCCCGAGATGGAGGTGGATCAGAAAACTCCCGAACCTAAGGGAGGGGTCCAAGAAGAAGTTCAAGAGAGTGCTGCTGAGCACAAGAATGAGGATGCCGTGATGCCCAGTGCTGAGGGTTTCACGACAGATATTGCAAGAGAGGTTGAGGCTTTCGTCCTCACCCCTGAAGAAGAAGAGGTCATAATAATTGACTCTTCTGAGAAGGAGGATGCTGAGCCATCCAAAGATAAAGAAGCTCCGTCGTCATCCTTTCCTTCCTTCCAGACTCTGCAATCTGGAGAAATGGGTTTCTCGGCCCCCCGAATTCCAATCCCAGATCACATCTGGGACCTCATATGGGGTCAGAACCGAGAAGGTGCTGCAGCCTACTTCGGCGATTTTGCTGGCACGTCCGAAGTAGATAGGGCAAGAATCTGGTCGCTGAAGGCCACTGCTGGGATGGGCGAATCCAGCATATCAGTTCCTGACCCGGCCAGGTCTAACCAACTGCTGATGATGCAGGTGATTTTCCTTGCCTTTATCTCCTCTAAAATTCAGCTCTATTTTTTATTTTAACTTGTGCTCCTGTTTTCAGTTCGTGCACAATCAGACTCTCACTGTAGAGCTGATAGATACCCTACAAGATAGGGTAGACGCTGCCGAGCACGACAAAAAGGTAGCCGAAGAGGAGTTAAAGCTTGCTAAGCTGAAGCAAGCAGCAGCAAAAGGGTGAAGAATATGAGAAAAAAGCTGTTGAAGCCTTCAAAACCTTCTGCGATTCTGTGGAGAAGGAAGTTTTTCCCCCACTGATGGAAGGGGAAAAATTCCTCCAAGAGCACATGGGAGTGGACATCTCCAAATTCAAGGCTACCATTGAGAGCCGAATCCAGGAAGGAGCTGCTGCACAAGTTGAAGTGCAGCAACGGCTAGAACCTCTTGAAGCCAGCAGAATGGCTGCTGAAGAGATGCTTCAAGCCAGGGATGTCCAACTCTCAGAGGCTGCTGCTGTTGCTGAAGCTCAGAGAGCTAAGCTCTAAGAAGCTGAGGATCAGCTGATTGCCAAAAAGGAAGAAGTGGCCCAGGCCCAGACAGAGGCTTCCCAAGTTCAGCAGCAGCTGAATGAGCTAAAAGGTTCCTCCTTCAAGCTCGCCGATGAGCTGAAGAAATTTAAGGAAGACTTGGAGGAGACCCAGAAGAAGTTGGCTGATGCTGAGGCTCTACTCAAAGTCCGTGTCTATACCCAGGAAGAATATGAAATGAGTTTCAGAAACGGGTTCAGAGTGTGCCGAAGAGTCTGCCTTCATGCTGAGCCGTAGTTGGACTGGTCCAAATGTGCTGAATGGGTCCAGAATCCCGAAGACCCTCATATGAAGTATGCAACTCCAGTCGAAGCTGAAATCCTTAAGGCTGAGGAAGCCGAAGAAGAAGCTGAGAGAATTGAGTTGGAGGCTGAACAGAGGGAAAGGGAGGCTCGGCAGAGTGCAAAGGCTGCTTCTTCTGCTGCTGGGGCTGAGACCACCATGGGGCCCAACAATGCTGACCATTCTGATCCTCGGGCTGAAGCATAGGAACTCGGGCAGTCGTCTTCAGAATCTTGCGGTTCATCATGCGCTCAACTTTAGACTTGCCGCTTTCTGAATTTTTGCCTTGTTTGTTTTTTGCTTCAGCTTGCCTTGTCGTACAAAACAGTTTATTTTTTTGCTTCTGTACGTATTTCGGCAGCTGTTATTTTCCGCTTATGGGCGGCTGCCGATATAGTTTCTTAACTTACTTGAACTTGTAGCTCAATTTCTGAGCATAAATTATTAATTTGATGTTCTTTTCTTCAGCTGCTTTGTTTTTGAGTGCTTTACTGTTTCTTCAATTCTGCTGAACATAAACTTGCACTGGTAGTGCTTCTTGCCCCCCCAGAAATTGAAGTATGGCTTCAGCTGAATAAACAATTTCTTTTTTTCTTAAAAATGGGTATTCGAAACACAGGGCCAACTGAAGGCAATGCTTCGCATAATGGCTTTCTGGGATAGGCAATATCTCAGAATTGTCCATGGACTCACGCCTTTGGAGAACAAATCTTACTGAAGCTTGACTTCAGCTGAAAGACTAGAGTTCTTTAAAAAGACAAGTTTGTCAGCAATTTGAAACCCGGTTACCCGAAGGCGAAGGTTTCAGAC